GCGACAGAGTGAGTCTCCAACTCAAAAAAAAAAAAAAAAAAGAGAGAGAGGATTAAGGATTGAATGTGAAGACTGCCCTCACTACTCCTATTCAACATTGTGCTGGAAGTTCTAGCAAGAGTAATCAGGCAAGAGAAAAAAATAAAAGTCATTCAAATCAGCAAGGAGGAAGTCAAACGAACTGTTTGCTGATGACCTAAAGACTTATCCAGGAGACTCCTAGACCTGATAAACAAGTTTGGTAATGTTTTAGGATACAAAATCATTGAACAAAAATCAGTAGCATTCTTATACACCAAAAATGTTCAAGCCAAGAACCAAATCAAGAGCTCAATTCCATTTACAATAGTCACACAAAAAATACCTAGGAATACATTTAACCAAGAAGGTAAAAGATCTCTACAAGGAGAACTTAAAAAAATACCGATGAAAGAAATTATAGACAACACAAACAAGTGGAAGAATATTCCATGCTCATGTATCAGAAAAATCAATATCATTAAAAATGACCATATTGCCCAAAGCAATCTGCAGTTTCCTTTTTTTTTTTGAGTTGGAGTCTCACTCTGTCGCCCAGACTGGAGTGCAGCGGCTGCTCCCGACCCCCACAGCCTCGACCTGCTGGGCTCCGGCGATCCTTCCGCCTCAGCCTTCCAAGTAGCTGGAACTACAGGCGTGCACTTCCACACCCGGCTAATTTTTGATTTATTGTAGAGATGAGGTCTCGCTGCCCAGGCGGGTCTCGAACCCGCGGGCTCAGGCAATCCACTCACCTCAGCATCCCAAAGGCGCGGGATTACAGGCTGAGCCACCGAGCCCGGCCACCTTCTCATTTTTAAATTTATATTTTAGCCAGAAGATGATTGGTCTTTGTTCTCTCTCCCTAAACACCTCAAGACCACACTAAGTAAGCATCAGCTACATCCCCCCAATACATTCAAATTCAAAAATATTTGTGACTAATGAGATTTTACTGAAGCCTTCACGGGAAGACAGAGAAGAGGATTACATCACACACCACAAAGCAAAGCTCAGTTAGATTCCTCCATTCGACTAGCTAGACCTGTTCTCCCTCCAGAGGCTTCCTCCCTCGCTACCAGGTTGTCAAGTTTCCTCTCTTCACCCCTTTCCCTAAAAAACTTTTGAAATTCCCTCTTTTCTTCCAAACTATTCAGCTATGGTCCAAGTTTATGTACTGCACTCAGCAAAGCAAAAGGACTATAGTTACCTAAAAAGCAACTGACTGTTTTTCCTTGATCATGCTCTGTGGGAAAGTGGGGTGGTATCTCGGTTCATTCCACAGCAACAGAGTCATATCGATAATAACCGTAACCTGAAGGATTATTGAGAACAAGATGCTGAAATAAGCCTCTAACAAAATGATTGCCATGTAGCTCATTAGTGGCCCGTCTTGTATAGAACTTAAATTATAAAGGTTAAACCACAACTTTTGAGTCCCTCATATTTATTTTTACTTTCTTTTGTTTAACAGTCCCGTGGGATAGATGGAGAAGGTGTTATTATTTCATTTTCTTTCTTTTTTTTTTTTT